AAAAAAAAAAATATATATATATATATATATATATATATATATATATATATATATATATATATATATATATATATAAAACACTTCTGTGTCCTAAGGGTAAAAATCATTACAGAGACAGAGCAGTCCTCAAGATAGCACTCCACCTTAGCACTATAATAGCACTATAAATCATATTTAAATAATTATTTAGTAAAGATTTTACTCTTAAGTAATTCAGTCAAGGAATTTCTAATCAGTGCTGTGCTTTAAAGTGGAAAGTTAGCTTAAAGTCAACATAAAACACTGTTCACAACCTATTTTACTTTTGTAATGTGACATTTTCAAGTTAATCTGAACATTAATAAGGAAAAAAAATAGGGTGGAACTTGAATCTATCAGTCAGAAATTGACTGGATCTTGACAGGTGGGCATTACATAGGGGAGACAGGGGATGGTAGTATCACTTTTTGTTTTAACATCTGTAACTCTGTAGTCTGTTTTTGTCTGTTTTGTTTTTGTAATATTTATCTCAAACATTGATATAATTTTCCCACTGTGTAAATTAATGGCAAGCACAAGAAGGTGCTGTTGTTACATGAGTTGTATCAGTGGGTGGGGTGAAGTTAAACACTATATGTGACCCTGGAGCACAAAAGCAGTCTTAAGTCGCTGGGGTATATTTGTAGCAATAGCCAAAAATACATTGTATGGGTCAAAATTATAGATTTTTCTTTTATGCCAAAAATCATTAGGATATTAAGTAAAGATCATGTTCCATGAAGATATTTTATAAATTTCCTACTGTAAATATATCAAAACGTAATTTTTTATTAGTAATATACATTGCTAAGAACTTAATTTGGACAATTTTAAAGGCGATTTCTGGCAGGACCACTATCGTCAAAGATGATTGACAATTAGCATACAGTTTGGATTGGCAGTATGGTTCTGTTCTGGGCAAGAACTCCCTGTGCAACCATGCAGCCTAGCATGGATGAGAGCAGGGAGAGCAGCGATAACCCCCCAGGGTAAACAGAACAGAACCAACATAAATGTATTGCAGATATCATTCAAGTTCAATAATTTTATGTACACATTTTAGAATTAGTCTGATTCAAAGGAGAATCAGAAGGCTGAATCCTGACTGACAGAGGAGTAGTTGGGGATGGAGGAGGGTAATTAGCTATTGAGCAATGCGAAAACTGCTGATAATGCTGAGGAACCTTATATATGAATGCTTAGATAGGTGTCATATTCCCATAGGTTGATAGGGATCAGCTGAGAGTCAGCTGATGCACGCTTGACTAATGAGACCTGCCAGAACTAACGCTACGCTTGATTTTCTCAATATTCACATTTTGTTTTGCACCCTCAGATTCTAGATTTTCAAATAGTTGTATCTCGGCCAAATATTGTTCTATCCTAACAAATGGAAAGCTTATTTATTCAGCTTTCAGAAGCTATATAAATGTCAATTTCGAAAAATTTACCTTTATGACTGGTTTTGGGGTCCAGGGTCACATATTAGAAAAGTGTGGACATGGTTTGATGTTTATTTCATCCCTTTAAATGGTTTCTAACTGACGGTAATACAATTCACCCAGTTGTTACAACCATCCTCAGTAAAATTAACTGAAGTATTGAAGTATTAGCTCAATGTTGTAATCTAGTTTTATTAATCTCTTATACAACCAGTATGCTAATTCTAGCATTATTAACATTATAATCTTTAATCTCTTTTATCTTCTACCAGGTTGAGTAACACCAAAAAGCAGGCTGTCCATACGGTCATGGGCATCTGGATGGTGTCGTTCATTCTGTCCACCTTGCCCGCTGTGGGCTGGCATGATACCACAGAGCGCTTTTACACCCACGACAATTGTCGCTTCATTGTGACCGAGATTGGCTTGGGCTTCGGCGTCTGCTTCCTGCTGCTGATCAGCGGGAGTGTGGTGATGGGCGTCATCTGTATTGGAATTGCCCTCTTCCAGACCTTTTCCATCCAGATGGGTCAAAACGTGGACAAGAACAAATTTAACGTGCCCACCATTGTAGTGGAGGATGCCCAGGGCAAGAGGCGTTCATCCATCGACGGCTCAGAGCCCATTAAGACGTCGCTGCAGATCACCTATCTGATCAGTGGAATCGTCTTCATTTACGACTTTCTAACTGGATTCCCCATATTGGTGAGTGTTTACTTTCATTTAAAAGAACATGATTTTACAAAAAGGGCTGCAGTCTTTCAGTGGAGTATCAGTGGTGTTTATCTTTGCATAGGAATATGAGTTGGGAGTTGCCTTGATTGATCTATGAATGATATTGACTTTTTGAGGGCTATTGATGAAGAGAGTGCTTTTGATGATCCTACATCAAATGTGTCTGTTAGAAAACTTCCTGCAACACTGTAAAAAATGCAAGTTACAACAAATGTGTTGAGATAACTTAAATATACAACTTGTGTAAACTAAAGTTAACTGAACTTACCATTTTAAGTCAAGCACGAACACTTACTTTTTAAGTTGAAACAATGCATTATTACTTATTCTAATGTTTAATTTTAAGTTGTGATAATTAATCACAGTAATCGTTTTTGTTTTACAGTAAATACTGTAAGCGAACTCAACCACTGGTTTGTTGGGATGTGTTGTGATACCAGTACCAAATCACACGGTTCTCTGTACTAATTTTGGTACCATAGCAAAACATATTGTAATGCTATTAATAATTAATATGTCAATACATTAAAACATTAGCATGTAGCCTTCAAATATTGTTCAATATCTATTCTGACACATCAGACTGATTTTGTCCCGTCCGTTGCTATGGTTATCACAATGTCAAGCAGTCAGTTTTAAAACAGTCGTCACTCCTGCAGTGTGTACTTAGCATGAAAAATAAAACTTTTATTCAAATTATGAATGGGTTATTATACACAGAAAGTGAGCAAAGACGCCTCCTTATGTTTAGTGAAGCTAATTACAGTGCAGTTCATCCCGCAGCGCAAGCTCACTGACTGAGTGAAATCTCCTGCTATAATCAAAAAATCAGTCTGCACGATGCATCTCTTATTTACATCGTGTTTATACTTTGCTGGTTAGAGCAAAACTGTTTGCGAGAGTGCAGAACACAAGCTAGACGAACTCTAGCAATACTGACTTACACGCCTCTGATTGGCCACTGCATTCACATGCACAAACATATCTGTGATTGGCTACAATGCTCAGTGCTGCAAAAACACATTGACAATTTAAACCTTAGACGATCTTCACAGACACTCACACAAATACGGGAGCATTTGAAAGCAGCCGCCTGTCAGCGGGTCGATACTCAGTACTACCAGTACTGTGGAAAGGCTGGTATAATTACACTTTTAAAATGTAAGCATTGACTTGGTACCGAAGTATAGGTACCACTAGTGACAATTGGTTTGAAGCCTTCTCAGGGACCCAGGGTTACATACTTAACTGATGTTACAATTGCATGTTGCAATTCATAGCTCAAATCTGTGTCCAGATGATACAATCTGATAAAAGTGTTGGAAAGGAACAGCCTGCCACCACACAAATGTTCTCCAAAGATGCAACCTTAGGTAAACGCTTGAGAAGAAGCAACATTCCTATAAACCAAAACTTTCACTAGACAGGAAACAAAATCCATACAGCATGAGGTCACTGATATAGCCTGTAAATCACCAATCCTCTTAAGGGATGTAAACGCCAACAACGACTGCCATTGAGAGTCAGAATGCTATCTGAAGCTGACTCAAGTGGTTCAAAAGGAGGCTTGGTAAACCTTCTAGCACTATAGATAAGTCACAAGACCGAACACAAGCAGGTCGGAAAGTTCTCAGGCATCTCATCCCACACATGAAACAAGAAACAATTGAATGCCTCCCCAAAGAAACACCACCACCTTGTGCAAGTTCAGCAGCAATCATACAGCTTAAGCCTTTATGTGTGGAGTTTGTTCTTCTTATGTTGAAGTGGGTTTGCTATGCTTTTTCATTCATCTAGTCTTTTTATTGTACTATTTTGTAGTACTTTTCATGCATGCAATCCAGCCATTTCACCAGCAGGTGTCACCCTCACCCGCATTATAATTAGGATTCATTGTTTTCACATGTTCATTTCCCCCCACCAACATTGGTATGTATAGCCTAGTCATTTAAGATCAGTGTTGTGTGTGAAGGAACTATAGGGCTGCGTTCCACTCCACTTTTAGACACGCACTCACGAACTTCCCTAAGCACTTCCCCTCGGGGGAATCCCCGCTGCCATTTTGAAGTGCGTTCCACTTCCTGAAGTGGACGAGGGAAGTTTATATGGACAGACCCTGACCCCTCGATTTTGACCGAGGGAGCAAGTCTGCTTCATATGCACACTTCAGGCCTCTCCATAGACCACAATGCAACACGATTGTGACGTCATCGCAGATCGTGTTTAATTTATCCCCACCCCAAACAACTCTATAATATAAAAATTATTTTTTAAACATTTATAACAGCCCAAACATACCTATATACATATAGAATGCTGCACCAAACTAATTCATAAGGGAAAAAATGTAAACAATAAACCAACTCCATAGCTGATTCTAAGTGATCAAGGGCTTAGAACGTTCCAGTTCAGCCCATTCCAAGGGTTCCGCCAGAAGTAGGCAATCATGCAACGTAATCAATGACGTACATCCGCGTAAACGAGATGGAGGGAAGTTTGCGAGTGAAGGGCATAAAAAAACGGACTGGAACGCAGCCTAGATTTCCCAAACACTTATCGACAAATGGCTGCCCACTGCTCTGGTTGTGTGTTCATGGTGTGTGTGTGTGTGTTCACTACTCACTGCTGTGTGTGTGCACTTGGATGGGATAAATGCAGAGCACAAATTCTGAGTATGGGACACCATATTTGGCCACATGTCACGTCACTTTCACTGCCAATTCATCAAATGCCCTGTTGCTGTTCTCCTCCTAGGCCTTTTGAAACAAAACCTTACCAAGCCACAATAATTCAGGTGCTGCTCTTGAACTCTTTGAAAATTAAAATTCTTGCCCATCTTCATACACTAAAGCCATTAAATATAGAATCTCCGAATATTAGCATGTATGGTGCATGTGTAGAATCACTAGTTTGTATTCACCTTGCTGCTAGACCTAAACTGATGACAAGATACATCTTAGAGAAAGCTTTACCACTGTTCTGTTTGCAAAGAAGAAACTTTAGTCTGTTTCAAAGTGCAGTGGGGAAAGTTAAATATGTCCTTCTGCACAGTTGATATTGGCAGAAAAGCCATTCGTAAACTAATGGTGGAAGAATATATGTAGAGAGCCATTCAAAATAGGAGAAGCCCTGTGGAGAAGTCACTAAACCGTGCCCTACAGTATCTTGGTTATTGAATTAAAGGGGTTCTATTATGCTCTTTTACAAAGTCTTGATTTTGTTTTGGGGGGTGTACTAGAACAGGCTCTCATACTAGGTTGTTCGAAAAACATTATTTTTCACATATTTTACATTATTACAACCCCTCTCTCCCCAGTTTGGCATGAACGGCTCGAATAGTTCCTGTATCAAATGAAGGCCCACCTTCTGAAATACGAGATGTGCTGTGATTGGTTAGCTGGGCCAGTGTGTGTTGTGATTGGCACCACTCGGCCACCACTCGGCCAAATGTCACGCCCCTTACCATAGCGACCTGTGAGCTTCAGTGTAAATATTGCGTTAAAATCAAATCAATTTGAGCGCGATTTAAACCCGGATGATTGTAACCACTCTAAGTTCGTCTGCCTTGGGAAAGCTAGCATGTCTATGACATAGTGATATCACTCGTTGCCTTCTCTAATGCAGCTCAACCAGGTCTCGTCCCATTCGTCGATACTTGTGATATCACAAATCCCGGAAAATATGCCTTGTAGTCCAAACGAGTCATTCGTTGTAGTTTTTGAAAAGTGATTTCTGTTAAATAAAATATCTCCTTTTGAAGTGGACTTTGAGCTTTGTAACTTTGCAGATCTTTTTTTATGCTCAAACAGCAACATTACAGACTAACTAAAGTTAAAAAAGTGAAAAAGCATAATAGGACCTCTTTAAGTAGTATAGGGGTGTAACGATATATCGTCCCTTTCACAAAAATGTGTCACTATGCATTATGCATGTGAAAAATTAATTGAGACATAGAGTTATTAATTGAGATATAGAGTTAATCATGATGTAGAGTTTTATCTATGACTCAGCTTACTGCATTTATAGTTATGCAAACTATACTGCATATGTGCTAGAGTGCCATTCCTTCAATCTGACAAAATAGTGAAAGCACAAACAATTAAATCACCATATAGCATATTTGTAAGTCTTTTTTATATGCATCAGATGTGCATCCTTCATATATATTAAAATTAAGAGGTTGATGTATGATGGTTGCCTTGTGCATTGAGGCCAACGTTGAAGCCTAATTCTTAATAATTATTTTATTATCTTGGGGTGAAATGTGGCCTGGAAATCTGTTTGCGAAATTTATCCAGCTACACACTGTGAAAAAAATCTGTAAAGATAGGGTACGATGTACTGTATTAATATGAAGAATTTTTCTGTGTTTTTATTTTACAGGTGTTTTACCTGTATTTTGAATTGTGCACTTCACAATTGTGCATTTTATTTTTCTGTTAGTATTATTATAGTGTAGCAGGGGGTTTGTCAAAGTTCTTTGTGGTAGCTCTGGTGATCAGGTCATCAGTATCAAAACAGTGTCCCGCCTAAAATAAATGTTATGGATACATTGTTTATGTTCAATCTTCTATTCAAGTCTTTATGCAGCATGTTAATCAAGGCGATGGGATACCCTTGTGAAAAAGTACACTTTAACATATCCCTGCAGAATACTTACAGCGGAAATAATACACTTTAAAATAATATACTTAAGTATGCAAACTCAGTGTTTTCAGACACCAATAAATAAAAATGTATTATAATTAAAATGTTTATTAAATGCAATTAGTGAAGACTTAAGAGTCCTTTGTGTATTTGTAATTACATAGATGTAATCATTAGAAAGCTGCCTGCTTCTAACCCCATCTTACCCTATCACTTTATGTCAGTGTACATGTATGCAGATAGAGCTGGATATATTTATAGTAATTGCAAGTTGGAGTTAATAATACATTATGCAGTGACAGGAAATCTGTAATGGTTGAAATGTATGAAATCTGTAAGGTTTTGTTCGGTTTATTATAATTAAGTGCAGTGATGAGCCTAATTGTGTACTGTATGTAGGTGGATAAAACAGGATATGATTATAAATATATGTATAGTTTGAACTGTTGCTATTTGAATTTGCTTTTTAACATGTAAATAACTGCAGTGCTTCATTGTAGGTGGTGAGCTTTGCCAGCCTGAAATTTGACCGCTCCTACAGCTGGATGGTCCTGTGTGTCCTCTGGTGCTCCATAGCTCAATCAATCCTGCTCCCCATGTTCCTGTGGGCTTGCGACCGCTACAGAGCAGACGTCAAGATGGTCTGGGAGAAATGTGTAGCCATCATGTCCAATGATGAAGTGGACGAAGGTAAGGACCACTGAGCTTCCTTTAGCATGTTCCAAGGAGAAAGCAAAGCTGTGTTCAACCAATGATGACTACAGTCATTGGATTTATCATGTGACCTACATTTTTAGATGGATGGATAGTATTTTCAAAAGTGTCTCATTAATATATGTTGACATACACTCAAGAAATATATAACTGAAATACCTGCTAGGATGCTTTTGGAGTGAGCTCCACTGTAGAAGTTTTGCTGCAAAGTTGCTTTACTCTCTAGTAAAGCGTCACAGAGTTGCATGATGTCACTACTCCTTCGACACGTGACCAAAGGGCCCCCTGCAGATTTGCTGGACCACTGGCCAAAATGTCAGTTACTACAGGCATTGAGCTAGAATAAAACTCTGTATTAGCCCTTACCAAAAAGTAGTATACTTCAAGTTTATTTTATTAAGTATACTTAAGTAAAGTTCAAGTATATTTTTAAGTATACTTTATGTAATAAGTATACAAATATCAGTGTACTAGTGGTATACTTGTAAGTGTACTATTTCAATACTCCTTGGGGCTGAATTGGCCCACTTTCTAGTATATAAAAGTATACATTTAAGTATACTTTAAGTATAACATTAGTCAACTTTGAGTACACAACTAGTTTACATAACATTTTTTAGCTTGTACTGCAACTATACTAAAAGTGAACATAGGTATACTGATAGTTTA